TTCCAGAGCTGCCCGGCTCCAGATTGCCCACGGCGTGCCTGAGAACGCCTGAAGACAGCCCAGGTGGCCCCCCCACGTCATCAAAGCGTCCCAATACGGCCACAAGACGATCCCAGAGCATCCCCAAGAGGTCCCAAGACCGTTCCAAGGAGGGCCCCAGACGGCACCTGAGCGCTCGCAGACGGCCCCAAGATGTGTCTACCGAGCCTGTTCGGGAGAGCTCGGTAGAGCTATCGCAGTTAAGGCGGCCTCTGACCGAGCACAGCACCCCCCTTCCAAGTGACCCCGAGAGGTTCTCAAGAGGCCCCAAAGAGGCCCCCAAGAAGCATCCAAGAAGGCTCGAAGAGGCCCACCATAGCCATTTGGGCTCAAGCTCGTTAAATAACGTGTCAGCTGTCAGAGTTTGCGCGATCATGCTCCCCGTGGAAACTATATGATGTCGCCTTCAAGAGGTGCGGGACAGCATGGTTATGGACCGGCTGGCTCCTCTCTCGCGGGTTCCATCAAAGAATGCGGAAACAGAAAACAATGGGCCGCGGCGCTGAAGATGTTCCGCGATGCGTCGCAGTCGCGCTTGCAGCATGACACAGTTCTCTACAACGTGACTATACGCGCATGTGGCAGGGGCGGGCAGTGGCAGAGGGCGCTGTCGCTACTCACCGAGTTGTTGGAGGTGAAGTTGGAGCCAAGCGTGCCCACCTACAGCTTTGGAATCAGCGCGTGCGGGAGAGAGTGGCAGCATGCGCTGTCGCTGGTCGGCTCGATACTGGCGGTGAGGTTGGAGCCGAACTTGATGAGCTACACTGCTGGAATTAGTGCATGCGAAAAAGGCGGCCAATGGCAGCAGGCGGTTTTGTTGCTCGGCGGGATCTTCGAAGCACGTCTTGAACTGGACGTGGTCAGCTGCAGTGCTGCAATCAGCGCGTACGCCAAAGGCGGGCAGTGGCAACGAGCTTTGTTGCTGTTCGGCGAGATGTGCGCGTCGAAGGTGGAGCCAAACGTCATTAGCTACAGTGCGGGAATCAGTGCGTGTGAGAAGGGCGGGCAGTGGGAGCGTGCGTTGTCGATGCTCAGTGGTCTGTGGATTGGGAATTTGGAGCCGGACTTGATAACTTACAATGCCGGAGTGAGTGCTTGCGAGAAAGGCGATCAGTGGCAACGTGCGCTGTCATTGTTCGACGAGTTGTTGGATGTTCAATTGGAGCCGTCTGTGGTGACTTACAACGCTGTCATCAGCGCGTGTGGGAAGGGCGCTGAATGGTTGCAGGCGTTCTCATTGCTCAGCGAGCTGAATTTGGCGACATTGGAGCCAGATGTGATAAGCTATGCTGCCGCAATGAGCTCGTGCGAGAGAGGCGGACAGTGGCAGCAGGCGTTGGCGTTGCTCAGAGAGCAGTGGGATGCGATTCTGGAGCCAAACGTCATCAGCTACGGTGCTGGAATCAGCGCGTGCGCCAAGGGTGAGTACTGGCAGCAGGCGTTGTTGTTGCTGAGCGAAGTTCAAGAGCTGAGTTTAGAGTCAAGCGTGATCAGCTACAACGCTGGAATCAGCGCATGCGAGAGAGGTGGGCAGTGGCATCACGCGCTGTCCCTGCTGGGCGAGCTGAAGAGGGCGAAGTTAGAGCCCGATGTCATCAGCTGCAACGCTGGAATCAGCGCGTGCGAGAAGCGCGGACAGTGGCAGCAGGCGCTGGTGTTGCTCAGCGAATTGCGGGATGCAAAGCTAGATCCAAGCGTGGTCAGCTACAGCGCTGGAATCAGCGCGTGTGGGAGAGGTGGACAGTGGCAGCAGGCGCTGGCGTTTCTCGTCGAGATGCGGGAGGCGAGGCTGAAGCCAAGCGTCATCAGCTACAATGCTGGAATCGACGCGTGTGAGAAGGCTGGCCGGTGGCAGCAAGCGGTGTCGCTGCTCTGCGAGCTGTCGGAGGCGCAGCTGGATCCGAACGTGGTGAGCTTCACCGCCGGAATCGGCGCGTGCGAGAAGTGCGGGCAGTGGCAGCACGCGCTGGTTCTATTCAGGTGGCTTGCGCCGTTCCGCCGATCCCCCCTTGTTGGGCCTCTCGGATGGCTCTCGGGGGCGTCTGGGGGGCCTCTCGGAGCTTCTTGAGGGCCGCTTGGGGGCTCCCTGGTAGCCTCGTGAAGGCCTCTTGGGTTTTTTTCGGGGAGGGAAAGGGGGGGCAGCCAAACATCTCACGCGCCTTCCCATCCCTGGCAAGCGGAGGCCGGCGGATTCGGTGACCTGCGGGAGGGGGCCGTGGAGCCGAACGTGTTCACCTGTGCCGCAGGCGTCGCTGCCTGCGGGGGCGCCGGGTGCCAGCGGCAGCTGCTGGCGCTCATTGACGACCTGCAGGCGCTGGCCCCGATCGCGCCCTGCCTGCCGCGGCCGCGCCGGCCCCTCCGCCGTGCGCCGTGTTTGGCTCCGGGGCGGACGGGGAAGTTCGAGCGCAGGCGAAGGCTCGCGCGCGCGCGCTCGAGCGGCTCTGGGGCACAGGCTCGACTCGCCGGAGGCTCGGCTCGCTGGTGCTCGGTTCGCCGGGGATGGGCTCGCCCAGGGTCTGGTTCGCCGCCCCTCGCCTCGCCGGGGGGCTCGGCTCGCCGGAGGCTCGCTTCGCCCAGCTCGGCTCGCCGGCCGAGGCTCGGCTCGCCGGGGCCTCGGCTCGCCCGTGTGGTTTCGCCTGGGGCTCGTTCCGCCGACCGGAGCCCTGTTTTGCCCGTCGCTGGAGTCTCGTTTCGCTGGGCCTCGTCTCGCCGGGGCCTGTTTCGCCGAGGCTCGTTCCGCCAGAGGCTCGTTCCGCGGGAGTCTCGTTTCGCCAGAGTCTCGTTCTGTGTTGGGTCGGGCGGGCGGGACATCAAAGTAGGACGCATCATCGAGTTAGCACGCGCGAGCCCTAACGGGCGGGTCGGATCGGGCGGGCGGACCCTAACGGGCGGGTCGGGTCGGGCGGGCGGGCCTTCATCATGGGCGGGTCGGGTCGGGCGGCCGGGACAGTTAAGTAGGACGCGTCATCGAGTTAACACGCGCGAGCCCCAACTAGCGGGCGGGTCGGGTCGGGCGGGCGGACCCTGACGGGCGGGTCGGGTCGGGCGGGCGAATCGAGGCTCGGGCGAACTGAGCCTGGGCGAATCGAGCTGGGCGGTTCCAGCTCTGGGAGACTCGAGACTCGGGCGAATCGAGCCCCGAGCGAATCGAGGCTCGGGCGAATCGAGCCCCGGGCGAATCGAGCCGGTCAATGCGAGGCTCAGGCGAATCGAGCCGGGCAGTTCGAGACTCAGGCGAATCGAGCCGGGCGATGCGAGCTGGGGCGAGCCGAGCGGGGCGAGCCGAGCCGGGCGCAGCGAGATTCGGGTCGAGCCAGGCGGATCAAGACGCGGGCGAGTCGAGGCACCCGCACCTCCGCCGAGGTGCTGCCTGCGAGCCAGGCGTGCTTTCCCCGGTCTTGGCCCCCAGGGGCCCGCTGCTGTGCCCCTTGGGCTAATTATGCATCGCAGCGGCTGCGTGCGTCGGGGTGCGGGTTCCGAGCTGCGTCGTCGGGGCTCGAGCGTTAAGTCGGGCCTGTCCCCCTACAGGGGGATTTTCGACGAAAGATAAGAAGAAATGCCCCAAAAGTAGTCCAAAAATAGTCCAAAAATAGTCTGGGGACTATTTTTGGACTATCTTTGGGGGATTTTTGGGGTATCTTTTATTTTTCGTCGAAGATCCCCCCTGTAGGGGGACACGCCCGACACAGCTCGAGCGGCGCCCGCCTCGGGCCTCCCCGTGGGCGCGGCGGAGGGCTCCGCCGAGGTCCGCACCCGCCGCCCGGGGGCGGGGCGAGGGGCTCGCCCGCCGGGGGGCCCTCCCCGACGCAGAGGTCATCCGCAGCGCTGGCCCTCGCGCCGGGCCTCCGATTTTTTTTTTTTTTTTTTTTTGTTTGTTTCTCTCGTTGCAGGCGCTCTTCGTTCCGCCTCGATCTTCCTCCTCCTCCTCCTCCTCGACGACCGTCCTCCTCCTCCTCGATCTCTCCCCCATCCCGTCGACCGTCGTCCTCGATCCTCCTCCTCGATCCTTGGTCCTCGTCCTTCTCCTCGATCCTCATTCCCCTCCTCGTTTCTCGATCCTTTCTCGGTCGCGGGTCTTCGGTTCGAAGTCTTCTTCATTGCTGCCTATCTTCGGCCACGCGCAGAAAAAAGGGGGGTGTAGGAGGACGCGCCCGACTGGGCTGGCCTCGATCGGAAACTGGAACATATACACTACCAGTGGCGGTTTTGTTTCAGCCCCACGACTTTTTGAAGGTCGGGGGCGACGTCGGGGTGGTGTGGTGTATGCTTCTCCTCTGGTTTTCCAAGGGAAGCAGCGACAAATGTATACACGAGGATCCCGTATACACAAGGATCCGCGTCCCTGTGCGAATTTCAGCACAGGGTCGGAAGGAGCGTCGGTGCATAGAGTTCGTTTCCCTACTCGAGTCGGGCACGTCCCTCTGCAGGAGGAGTGTCCCAACGTAGTCCAGAGGTAGGGGGGGACGGTTTTCGTCGACCTCAGTTTTTGTTGACCATTTTGCGGGGCACTCTCTTGGAGCATTCTCGAGTCTTCGCCCAAGATCCCCCTGCAGGAGGACGCGCCCGACCTGAGGCCACTCTCTTGGAGCATTCTCGAGTCTTGGAGCACTCTCTTGGAGCATTCTCGAGTCTTGGATCATTTTTTGATCTTTTTCGGGGCACTCTCTTGGAGCATCCTCGAGTCTTCGCCCAAGACCCCCCTGCAGGAGGACGTGCCCGACCTGAGGCCACCCAGGAGGGAAAAAACACACAGACACAATTAATCGTCGATTCCCCAGAAAACATGGGAAAACATGGGAAGTGGGGGGGAGGACGAAAACCCCCTAAAAATATGCGAAACTATGGGGAACATTTTTATTTGTGTGTATTTATTTGTGTGTCCTGGGGCCCCTTTGGCCACCCGCCCCTGTCGGCGCCGTCGGTCGCGCCGCGCAGCGGTGGCCCTCGGCCGCGGCGGCCAGGTGATACAGATCGGCATGACCTTCTCGGACGCCAAGGGGAACAGGCCGAAGGGGATCTCGACGTGGAGGCGCCCCCGGCGGCGGCGGCGGCGCGGCGCCGAGCTCTTGTCTCGGGGGCGGCAAAGAGGGGGGTGATGACTAGGGGGGGGCGGATATCATGGCGGGGGCCATGATGTTTCCTCAGATTTCATGGCGCCTCTTCTTGTTTCATTACGTCCCTGGCCCCCCCGCTGGGCCGCGCACATGCCGCCGGTCATGCTTTGCACCCCTCCTAAAGGACACCCCCCTCTTGGCCGCTCCCGATTGTCTTCCCGGCATCCTGGATGGGGCCCGAGCAGATGGGGCCGGAGGATCGCGCCGCATCGTCGACGCATCGGCGATCCGGCTCGATACGGAACACGATTTTCTCCACGCTTGCGTCGCCGATGCGTCGCCGATGCGTCGCCGATGCATCGGCGATGCATCGCCGATGCATCGGCGATGCGGCGCGATCCTCTGACCCCATCTACTCCGCCCCCCATCTAGGAGGCCTCTATGTCTGCGGTTCCGTGCGGTTATGTGCGAGGGGAGCGGAGGTACGGCAGGTTCGCGCCGTGTGGGCTGGCGGCGACCCCGTGGACGGCGTTGAACGTTGGAACGCCACTGGCGACCCGGAATCGGCTGATGTTGAACGAGCTGACGTTTCGGACACAGCCGATCGTTCAAGGTTGAAGGACCCCCGCGGTGTCAGAAGCCCACGCCGAAGTCGGCACGACGCGAGCCTGCCGCAAGCTGGCTCTTCTGCGCGCCGCGTGCATCCCCGGCAGTCTCCTCCGTGTGCAGTTCAGGCTCCTGCTTGTTAGCTGTAGCTTAGAGGTGCGCTCTCGACCCGCGAATCAAAAAATTGTTCGCTGCAGCTCTGGACGGCGCGCGGTCCTTCCGCTTGCGCTCGCAAACAAAAAATCCCTGGTAGCCGTCGGCGCACCGAGGGGGGCGAGGCAGAGGGGGCGGGCCCTTCTGATGAGGCTCGGACGGCCTCTGGCCGTGCGAGAGGCTTCCCACGCCTTCTCCGGCGCCGCAGGAGGCTTCTCTGGCTTCCGCGAAGCCCCGCCGTCTTCCGAGAAGGCCTGCCCCCCTTCACTTCACTCCTCGACGCGCCGCCGAAGTAGCCCGTCCAGAAAGGATAGGCAAGGACCGTTCACGAGGTAAAGACGGGAACGCCACTCAGACCGCTAAAGGGGACATTCAGAAGCGGAGTTATCCTATCAGGGCAGGCGGAAGTAATCGTATAACATGTTGGACGGCAGTCTAGGGCCCTAGGGTACTCTGAGAGCGCTTGGGGTCTGTCCAGGTCCCCATCCCAGGACACCCCGTATCCCCCCCGGTACACCCCTAACAGGGAGGGGATCAACGGAGACGAGGCTGCCCTTTGACTCGATTCCTCGTCCTCCTCCTCCTCCTCCTCTTTCTCCTCCTCCTCCTCCTCATCCTCCTCCCCTTCGCCCTCGCCCTCGCCCTCCCCCTTCTCCTCCCCCTCCCCCTCCCCCTTCCCCTCCTCCTCCTCCTCCTCCTCCTCCTCCTCCTCCTCATCCTCCTCGGCACAGAATGGAAAAGCCCGTAGTGTTCGCCGACATGGTCAGCGGTCTTCTGATATAATAGGTGCGTGGTGACTTACACAGTCGACGGACAATCCTTGCAGCGAGGCGAAGCGCTGGCATCGGTTTGCGTCGCATCAGTGCTTGATGAGTGTTGCATGCGCAAGGTGGGCGCTGGGCATACGCCTTGGAAGCATTTTGCGAGTAGCAGGCTGCCTGGCACCATTCGGGTAACATGTTGTAGCAGCTTTTGCCCAATGCGGTATTTGTGTGGCAGGTTCAATTTCGGCTTCAACACTGGCAGGGATCTTTACGCGCAGGACATGTCACCTCTCCCACTTCACTTCATATTTTTTTCGCGCTCCCTTCCCCACCCTCCCCACCCCCCGGCCCTCTCGACTGCCTTCACACCTCACCCTCCTGTTGTCGTTTTGACTCCCTGTCTGTATGCCTATCTCTCTGCCTATCTGACTGCCTGTCAGACTAACTGAATGTCTGTAAGTCTGCCTGTCTGCCTGCCTGTCTGTCTGCCTGCCTGCCTGCCTGCCTGTCAGTCTGCCTGCCTGTCTGTTTATCTGTCTCTCTGTGTGTGTGTGTGTCTCTCTCTCTCTCTCTTTCTCGCCCTGTCCCTTTTTTTTGTTTTTCTCTCTCTCTCTCTCTCTCTCTCTCTCTATGTGTGTGTGTGTGTGTCTCTCTCTCTCTCTCTCTTATCTCTCTTGCCCTCTCTCCTTCTCTGTGTATGTATACATCGTTCGGTGTGAATCTATGTGTATATGTCAAGATTATCAACGCGACCCCCCTCCAGCCTGGGGTCGGCCACACCGCAACCATCTGCGGACACTTTTTGATACCCCTTCCACGGGGCCTCCAAGGGGCTTCAAGACGGCCCAAGAGGCCTCCAAGGCGGCCCCAAGAGGCCTCCACGAGGTTTCCCAAGAGGGCCACACTACGCACACAATGTTGGGTTTTCTAAGGTTTTTGTCGTTTTTTCGTCCTCGTCTTTTCGGCTTCCAGACGCTCCAAAACGGCCCAAGAGACCCCCCAATATCGCTCCAAGACGGCCGAAGGGGGCCCCAAAACGGCCCAAGAGGGCCCCAAGGCTGCCCAACAGGCCTCCAAGACGGCCCAAGAGGGCCCAGACGCGGGATCCGAGCGGACTTTTCATGCCCTCGGCCCTGAGAGGCCCCCAGGGGGCCCCCAGGGGCCCGCAAGAGGCCCCCCCCAAAGGCCCCCAAGAGGTCCCAAGAGGCTCCAAAGAGGTCCCCAAGAGGCCCCCGAGAGGCCCCCCAAACTGTCCCCGACAGGGACCGAAACGGGCCCCAAGAGGCTTCGGAAATGCTTCCAGGAGGCCCCCGAGAGAGCTGCCACGAGATCCGAGCGAACTGCCCCAGACGCCTCCAGGACAGCTTCAAGAGCGCCCCATAGCCTCCCAAGACGGCTTCAAAACGACCTGGGATAGCTTGAAGACGGCCAAGAGGCCGCTAAGATGGTCCAAGCTGGCCCGAAGATGTGGCCCAAGGGTCCCCAAAGCGCTTCCACGACGCCCCCAAGCGGCTCCCAGAGGTCCAGAAGAGGTCCCCAGAGGCTTCCCAAATGGCCCCGATAGCTTCAAATGTTTCAAACACTTTTCAAACACTTATGGAAACCCGCAAATTATTGAAGAACTCGCCTGTTCATGGCCGATAGGCTTCGGCTGCCTTGAAGTGTTCGCGTGACCGCGCTCTGTCGGCCAGCTTTTTGTTGGGGATTTTATCCCCCGTTTTGCGGACGGGCGATGCTAGCGATCTGTCTGCCCGATGTGGGATCTGCCCCATCGGCACCTTCTATTTGCTCAGCTTACCTTTCTCTGTTACACTTAGGTGCCAGGCTGGCTGATTTATGGAAACATGACCCAGTGCTTCGCACCCTCTGTTTTGGCACTTACCTCATTGCAACTGTGGTAGCCGATTTAGTCGATTACCTCCCACTCTGCGGCCGCCTTGCGCCAACATAGGGACAGCATCGATCGGGCTTCGTTCCCCCCCTTGACTTTGAGGCTATGTCCCAATGGGGGGGGACTTTTTTGGTCGGCGGGTCGGGAGCGGGCCCCTTCCGGTCAAGAGCTAGGCGGGGCGCGCGAAGCCCTAATTGGGGAGACAGGGCGCAGGCGGGCGGGGCCTCAGGCGGCTGGAGGGTGCAGAGGACAGGCGGTGCCGAAGATCCTGCACAGGGCAAGGTGCGCCATGGACTGGAGCAGGGGGCGAAGTCCCAGAGGGGGAATGGATTGGTGTTGCCGTCGTCGGCGCGCCAAGACTAACTGGGGGGGTTTGTGTGTGTGTGTTTTTGTTGTGTGTTTCATTTCTGTTTTTTTTTGTTGTGTGTGTGTGTTTGTGTGTGTTTTTGTGTGTTTTTTTGTCCACGAGCTCGCCTGCTTTCGCTGCCGTCTCGGCCCGAGGCCGCGCCGCCCCATCTGCCAACGTCGGCGCCGCAGCCGCTTCTCCATCCTTTGGGGCGCCGGGCCCGGAAGAGGGGCCCTTGCGCCTCCTGTCGCCATTCCTCGCCAGTCCATCGGCGTCCCCTCCTGCAGTGCCGTCTTTAATACATGCTCCGCGTGCGGAGCATGTGTTGAAAAATGTAGGGATGCCGTACTAAAAACAACGATGAGTTCATGCAGAAACTTATTCATACATTGCTCCTGTATTAAACATCCTGTATTTTTAAAAGTCCCATGTATTAAAAGCTGCCCTGCATGCAGTCGCGCGTGGTGCTCTCTTACTTTTGATTATGGGGCGTGCAGGTGCTTTGGGGCCCTGGCCTCAAGGAGTTCCGGAGTTTGGAATTCCCTTGGAGGAGGAGGAGGAGGAGGAGGAGGAGGAGGAGGAGGAGGAGGAGCGAAGTGCCGAGCATGCCGTGAGGAGGGCGGCTCTCTTCCGGGGGCGCGAAGCGCTGGCACCGATGGGCACATGAAAGTCGTGAATCGGAGGTGGACAGACCTCCTACCCTGACGCGTCGATTAAGGAACTGACCGTTTTCGGTTCGCGAGAGGGCGTCGCGGCCGTCGTTTTTGCGGGTCCAGGTCCGTCGGTTTCGGTCCCAGGCCGTTTTCACCAAGGGGAGGTTTGCTACAGGGAGGTCTGTTTACCGCCGAGTGAAACAGATGAGAGCTCAGAGAGAGGAGGACCCTGCGCATGCTCCAGATCTGGAGCCCAACGTATAGGTTGTATGTTTTTTTTTTGTTGTTGCAGGGGTGGTTGGCTTGCGCGCACCCAGCAATATGCTGCCCCCCATCGCCGTCCTTTTCAACGACCAATGCAAAGTGGTCGCGGTGCGCCCGCGCGTGTGCCAGATTTGGAGGCAAACTGCATTTTGTATAGTTTTTTCGGCAAGGGGTGGTAGGGGGACTAATTGGTCCGGGGTGGTTTCTGGTCGCCTGGGGGAGGGGGTGTTTACTAGTAGGGAAGCAGTGATACAACCCCTCCCCCGAGTAGAGGAGGGACATATTTTGGAACAAACAAACACCAGCTCGTTAAACCACCTACGCCCAGAGGGCTGGTGGGATTTCGCTCACTTTACTGAGCGCGTTCCACTACTCGCAAACGTCCGAAAGCACACATGTGTGCCTCGATTTAATGGATGGTAAATCCCCCGCGGCAGGTCCAGGATCTTTGCGAGGAGTTACTCTGCGAGCATTGGAGCGCGCTTATCTATCACTCTCCCGCCCTCCGTCGCGTATCCTCTTCTGAGACATGCACTCTTCGTCCTCGCAGACGCGTTTCCTTCATGTGCCCCTCTCTCATCATGTCCGCTTTTTGGTCTCCTTGCGACCGCTTTTTCTCTTTACCCGCTCTTCTTTCCCATGCTGTGGGTGCTGCAGCGTGGCCGAGGACTCGATTGATGGCCTGCGCCACACGCGGGGCTTAGACCTGCAGAAACACAACACCCAGGTCGCCGCCTGCCAGTCGAAGGAGGGCAGCAGGAGGGGACTGGCATTTCGATCGATGAAGAGTCGGGCAACACAATCAACACTGATAGGAATGATGAGCGACTTCCCAAAGGTACCCTTGCATCCTCGCATCCTCGGTCATCTTTGGTCCATCCCCAACCACTTTCGATGGCCAGCTCTGCTCGACAAAGCTTCAACCCAGGCGCCCGCGGGGCCTCGCATCATTGTCGCGCATCGTGATGTGTTGTCGGTTTTGACTGTAGGCCGGAGGCGGGGTGGCAATCTGTCGCCGTGCAGAGGTTTGTCGCCGCCCAGTCCCCCCACCCCCCTCCAACGGGATGCCCTCCATATGCCGCTCGGAGAGACTGAAGTCCGCCAGCGTTCTCCGCGAGACTTCGGGGAGGGCGGGCACTGCTGCCAACGCTGCCGACTTGCCGTCGACGCCAGCGGCACGACCATCACGCATCGCCGACTGCGGGCAGGGAGAGCGTGCTTCTGTCGGCCGACGGTTCCCTGCCGTGAAGGAGGGGAGGAGGAGGAGCGCGTGAAGAACGAACTGGAGCCCGCAATTGCTTTGTCTCCCAGCGCCGGAAAGGGGGGCGATGGGAGGCGGTGCGCACCGCAGCGAGACGTCCAGACTCGGATCAAGCCGACGGGGCGGCGGACCTGGTGCCCCCCCTTGGCCAGCGTGCGGCAGCGAGCCAGGCTGTCCCACCGTCTCCCCGTGCGCCAGTCATCTACAATTTTCAAAACATTGCTCGCATGTAATTTTTGTTAAGAAAACGTTATAGTTTTTTTTTGTTTTGAAAATTGTACAATTTTTTTAAAATTTGTTTTAGAAAATTGCTCCTGCAGCTCCTCGCCCTCGTCTGGCGGACGTCGCCAGCGGCACGGCGCCCGCTTGCCGATGCCGCCCTGCAGGGATCGACGTTCGATCCGTGCTCCTGCTGCAGCGCCCAGCTGGCCGCTGGGGGAAGGCAATGCATGGATAACACATGGTAGCCAGCGTGGACCCCGAACAGTGTGTTCTAGCATACTATGTGGTACAATCTACGTGGTGCGATTAGTTTTTGTTTGCAGTGACTTGTCAACTCGACTGCTCGCGTAACCATCCTACTCATCCAGCCGCAACTTGGTTTGCAAAGCCCATGCGGCGGCGACTGCGGTGACTGCTTGGCGATGGCTGGCGCATCGGTGAGGCCGCGCTTGCGCGCGCATGCTCGCACGCAGAGCGACCAGCTAGTGTGGCGCGAGCGACGCGGCTGCGGTGGCGCTGACCGTTGGAGACTTCCCAGCGCGTCTCGCAGGCGGCGCTGACGCGCGGGCACTTCATAGCGATTCGGTGGCTCGGGCGGGCGCGGTATCATGGCGACCTCGATAGCGGCTGTTACGATGATGATTGTAACGATGCTGGTGACGACGATGACGTCGACGACGACGGCAAGGCCAACGACGGTGCTGATGCTGATCGCGCCGATGACGATGATGGTATCCTCGCGTCGGTGATGAAAATTTTGGAAATATTTCGACATGCGCGCGTGGCCAACGTGCGCGAGTGGTCCGCTTGATTTTATTCGACTGTGACTGTGCGCCCCCAGCAAGCGCAAGGGCGTTATAATGATTTCGGCATGCGCGTGCGATGGGCCCGTTTGGTCGCATGTGGTGAACGTGTTGGAAACATCATGGTTTTTTTTCAGCGAAGGGCGTGCACGCGGACAAACATTACGAGCAATGATGTTTCAATGCCTTTCTTCTTATATGTTCTTGGGTCACACGGTTTTGACATTCCTTGCGACACCTAAAGATTTGAAAGGTTTTTCGGCATGCGCGCGCGACGGCACGCGCGTGTGCGCGTCGTCCCGCGGTTTGTGATAAACGAGTGTGCGCGCATAGTGTTGTTCGCAGTGGTTGGCTGGGGTGGGTGGGGGAGGGCCGATACCGGTTTGGCTGGGGTGATATGTATTCATATTTGGAATGAGCGATGGGGCAGAAACACATGCACATTGCACATCTCCAGTATGGGTGGATAATCCCGCCCTCGTGAGGGCGGTTGATCTTAATAGTTGACGCTTCGCGTGTCCCCACCAGCAACAGCGGCTTTTTGGGTCCGCGTTCGGTTCGTCCCCACCCGCGGGCTGAACCGTGGCCGCCTTTTCTAAGTATCTGCAGGTGCACACTGCGCGGTGTCGCGCCAATTATCTGTCGCTGTGCCCCAGCCTCGGTCATACCGCCCTCTGGACTTCTCCTTGCGGGCCGCGAATCAAAAACATGTCCCCACCAGCCCGTCTAGAAACGATGCCCAGGGGAGTTGAGGTGATCAGGGAAGTGGGGGCGCATGCAGAAGAACACATGGCGATGGAAATCGCCCGATATCCGAAGAGGTGGAGGATAGTGGAGAAGAAGGAGGAGGAAAAGGAAGAGGAGGGCGAAGCAGAGGAAGGTGGAAGAAACTGGACAAGGAGGAGGAGGAGGAGGAGGAGGAGGAGGAGGAGGAGGAGGAGGAGGAAGAGGAGGAGGAGGAGGAGGAGGAGGAGGAGGAGGAGGAGGAGAAGGAGGGGGAGGATGAGGATGATGAAGATGATGAGGAGGAGGAAAAGGGGCATCTTGGCGAGCCCAGGGCCGTCTTTGAGAGTCTTGGGTGCCTCGGGGATCCTGTTGAAGCCTCCCGTGGGCCTCTTGGGAGCCTCTTGGAGACATTTTGGGCACCTCTTGGGGCCGTCTGGGCGCCTCTGGGCCTGCTTGGGGCGCACATCGATCAAACAGGAGGGGAACTTCAATTAGCCTCCCCCTTCGGGAGCTCCAAACGTCGCCTTCTGGTGTGCTCTTGGGGCGTTGCTGGAGCGCTCTTGGGCGCTCTTGGGGCCGTCTTGGGGCTCTCCTGGGCCTTCTTGGGCCATGTTGGAGCCATCTTGAGGCCCGGGATGGCCATCGGAAGCGAAAGGCGAGACGGCACACATCACATCGATGTCCCAATGGTTTTCGAAGGACTCTTGCCCCTTGGGGAACTCCTTGGAGGTCTCTGAGGCCTCTGGTAGCCGTCTTGGAGCGTTCGTGGGGTTTCTTGGAGCATCTTGAAAGCCATCTTGAGGCATCTTGCGCTGTCTTGAGTCATCTTGGAGGTCATCTTGGGCTTTCCGAAGCCCCTTTGGAGCCGTCTTGGGTCATCTAGGACGTTCCAACAACCTGCCGCCCCCCCCGCCCAAATCCAGGGGAGGGAGTGGGGGGGGAGGGGTAAACCCCTCCCCGAAGGGGAAGCAAGAGGTTGGAAGAGGAAACTCCCTAGACCACGTACGCCCTTAGAGCATATAGTATATGTGGTGCAACATCAGTGGTGCAATCTGCGTGATGCACTCTATGTTAATCAATCTACGTGGTGCAAGCTATGTGGTGCAATCTATGTGGTGCAAGACACGTATTGCAACCCATGTGGTGCAACAGTTGGTACAATGTACGCAGTCGAAATAAGGTGTTGCACTATTCGTGGACACTGTGCAGTTCAAACTCTGTGGTGTGAGCTACGTGGTGCACTCTACGTGTTTCAACATATATGGTGCAATGTTTGATGTGCAATCTATGTGGTGCAATACATTTGGCGTACGCTCAGGGGTGCCATACCCGTGAACTAAGTTACGTGGTGCAATCGTTGTGATGCGATCTGTGTGATGCAGTTAACTCGCCTGTTCCGCGCATGGCCACCTCTTATGCTCGTGCAAACATCCCACCCACCCACTCACCCACCCACCCACCGAAAACATGGTCGCAAAACCCACGCGCTGGCGATTGCAATGCAGACGCGCTTGCGCGCGTAGGCTCGCGCGCACAGCGACCAGCTAGTCCAGCGCGGCCGTCGCGACCGCGGTGGCGCTGACCGTTGGGCACTTCCATGCGCGTCTTGCACGCCCCGCTGACGCTCGGGCACGTCAGTGCGAGTCGGTGCCTCGAGTGGGTGCGGTACCATCCGCACGTCGACACTTGCAGACAGGATTCTGATAGTAGAAAACTGTTGACGACGATGACGATGTCGACGCCAAGGCCGAAGACGGCACCGATGCCGATAACGTAAAGATGGCGATGATTGTGTCTACGTTTCGGAACGTTTTGGAAGGTTTTCGACATGCGTGCGCGGCCAACGCTCGAGAGTGGCCCGCTTGTATTATTCGACAGGGACATGCGCGCGCGAGGCGCACGTTCGGTTGATGTGATGAACGTGTTGGGAACCTATGGATTTCCAAAGGATTTGCAAAAGCGCGCGCGCGTAGGTTTTTTGAAGGATTTTGGTAAGCGCCCGCAACAACGCGCGCGTGTGCACGTCGTCCAGTTTGTTTTTTGTTTTCGTTGGTGGTTTTTTCTTATGTCAAAAGGGTTTTTGAGAAATGCTGATTTTTGATAAACGAGTATATGCGCATAGATTTTTGGAAGGGGATGGTGGGGGTTGGGGGTCGATGCTTGCCTGGCTGGGATTGTATGGACTCATGCTTGGAATGAACTATAGGGCGGAGTCGTATGTGAATTGCACAGTCCCAGGGCGGGGGGATATTCGCAGGCGGTGTGGGGGGGTATATCCCAATTCCTGTTATAGAAAATGGGGATCTGTGTGGCCGCAGTGAGTTGTCAATTCCATTGTTCCCGCGACTATCCCACTGGCCTGCCCGCAAGTTGGTTTGCAAAACTCATACGGCGGCGACACCGATGAGTGCTTGGTGTTGGCCGGTGCATCTCTGCGGCCGCGCTAGCCCGGGCATGCTCGCGCGCGCAGCGGCCAGCTAGTTTGGCGCGGCCGACGCGGCCGCGGTGGTGCGGACCGCTGGGCACATCCCGTTGTCGACGCTGCCATGATACCGCGGGCGCAGAATCATGGCAGCGTCGACAACGGTAGACACGATGATGATAGTAGTGATTCTGTTGACGATGATGACAGCGACGACGACAAAGCCAATGACGGCGCCGATGTTGATCACGCCGACGACGATGACGGCGTGTTCGCGTCGGTGATGAAGGTTT